GGGGGGGGGGGGGAGAGAGAAGGGAGGGAGAGAGAACGGGTGTGAGCATGCGTGCGGGGCGGCGGGGTTTCAATCCGCGTGCATACACACGGTGGTTGCTGTGTTCCAGAGTGAGGTTGGAAAAGGGCAAGTCGCAACTTCTGCATGGATGGAGGGGCCGGGAAGGGTCGCTGTTGCTAATAATAATGATAATAATGATAATAATGATGAGGTGGGGTCTGTCCTCAGATGCCCCGGACAGGCGCAGCTCCGCGGAAGAGCGCGTCCTTTCACAAGTGTATTTGCCTTCCCGGGGAGGGGGGCGCCTCCAGAGGGTGTAAAGCAAGGGAAGGAGCCGCGGTTTCACGCCATCTCAAGTTCATGAGCAAGTCTACACGAGTACAGATGTTTGTTCCTTTGGCGTCCACCCCGAACTGGGTCGGTATTGCCACCGTATGGGATGTGGAGCCCGTCCTGCAGCCTCCCTTCCCGCCCGCCTTTCCATCAGCGCAGACGCTCCGCAGAAAGAGCTGGCGGGAAGTGAAGCCCCACGGATTGGGGGGGGGGGCGCGGGGACGGGAGGGTCGGTGTCTTCTCCCCTGCCAGGCGCCCTACCCTGAACAAGCTCCATCGGGAGTGCCGGCCTCAGTGAAGCCGGGGTGCTTACAAGGCAGAGACGGGCAACGCCGGGAGCTGAGTGTCCGGCGGGGCCGATCTACTCGTTCTGCCCGCTGCCTTTGGCGCGACCTCCCGGCCGGCCGGCGCAGACAGGCAGGCAGGCACCCCCGGCCCCGTTGCGCGGGTAGCTGTCGGCGAGAGGGACCCCGGCGGTGAGCGAAGCGGGAGAGGGGCCCGGGCCCGAAAAGATGAAACGCTCCTGTGGTTTTTCTGTCTCAGGTACTAGTTCGAGCACCTGAAATGTATCGGTTGGAAAAGAGAAAGGGGCTCAGGATCCCGGGAGTTCTCTTCTGCAGCTATGAACATGAACTCTTTTAAAACAAATTGCTTGCCTATTCAAGAATCTCCCCGCTCAGCGCCCGCCTATCAAGTCGCGTGTCCCAGTCTGTGCTTTTACGCATTTCAATTACCCAAAATACGTGGGGTGGAGTTTCCTCCCTAGTGAATCCTGTCTGCCGGGAGGAATCCTGGGCTGCAGGTAATTTTAATTAGGACACCTCCCCAGATGCTCTGCCTACATGCATTTTTAGCTCTGACTCTTCCTTGTCAATCGCCCTCACTTCCTCCAGAAGCAGGTTAGATTTTCCTATGAAAACTGGTATCAAATATCTGAGCGACCCTTCCTCTGCGGCAAGAATGTTGCCGCTTTTTGTGTCTAAGGCACTGCATTTTGAACTGTTCTGCCCGTCTTTTACATTGCCCCTGACTTCTTTTACTGCCTTATCTTGAATTTCAGTGAACCCTATGCTGAGGATCCTGGACCTGATGGTGTGTTTTGCATAGTCCACAGATTGCTGCTCTTCATGTCTCTGCTCTGTGTCCAGAAAGGAGAGGCAAAGGGAATCGGGGATCAGAGCCTGTTGGTCTCGGGTCAGGGGCACGTTTGCCTAAAAGCTCCTCCCCTAAAAGCTCAGGTAAATAAGCCCAAGGTCTGGGGATTCCTTCTCACCTCGGATTTAGGTTGAATTGAGAAAGTGGTGAAAGCTCCTTCAAAGCCAGACTGCAGAGGATGTCTAGCCCAGGTTGCAACACAGAAGCACTGCAGCAGCTCCCCCCACCCCCCACCCCGCAATTGTCCAACTGAACGTTGAGGGGGAGTGTTTATGTATTTACTTGCTGCCTCGCTAGTGCAATGCACAACTCTGGGCAGTTTACAGCAAGTAAACATACACAAACAAATTAAACACACAGATCACAGGAAACTCAAAGAGCTGTAATTTATAGTTTACAAACAGAACGTGAAGCGTAATGAAAAATCAAGCCAGGTAACCAAGGAAGGCTTCTCTGAAAATGAATTTTCAGGCACCTTTTAAACATTGGGAGCGAGGGGGCGAGCTGGGCACAGCTCCACTGGGAATTGCTTCCAGAGTGTTAGTACCACCACAAAGGCGCCCCTGGTGTTAATAGATTGTTTTATGGTCTCCTTTGGAGTGGCCACCTGGAGGAGCAGTGTCCAGGAGGACCTAGTAGAGCCGATAGATGACATTGAGGAAAGATGCTGTGACAGGTACCGTAGCCCCAAACCATGAAAGGCCTTGTAGGTCTTCCCTTGAATCTGACTCAGGAGACAACCGGTAAGCAGTGCAGGCAAGCCAGGTCTGGGCATATATGATCAAATTTACTTGTAGCAACCACTATTCTGGCTGCTGCATTCTGGACCTGCTGTAATCTCTGGTCAGCCTTAAGGGAAGTCCCGCATAGAGAGTGCTGCAGTAGTCAATATATGTTTTGCTGACCTTCCACCTTTCCTCTAAGAGATTAAGAGAATGTATGCTGAGTTCTTAGGTGGTCTTCTGCAGGCACATTTAGCACTACTAGAAAGAGAGAAGTCGAAGTGAGCACTGTATCAGATACAAGTACTGAAGGGCGGCTCCAACGCATTGTGCTGTGTCAGTTTGAGAAATACAGTATTTTTTAAAAAGTGAAATGCAAAATTAAAGAGGGTTTCTCCACTGTCACTTTTAATGTCACGACTCACTGCATATGTCACAGGGTTGTTACCACAGAAAATACCCGCCCACAGCTCTACTTGGGAGCAGATTAAGCAGCCACACAGACTGCAGAATGGGATCATCAGGAGCCCTCCCGATGGCACCAAATAAACTACAGCCCTAGCTCTGTTCCAGAAAGGAGCGGGACAGCTCGCAAAAGGGGAGGGATGGTTCGCTATTGCTGAAAACACCTGTGATCACCGGAAAACAGGGTGGGCCAAACTACATCAAAAGCAAACCCAATAGCAAGCTGTATGCTTGCCCTCCCTGAATCAACACTTAACTCTGCTTCTGCAAAGATGCATGCCTTTAGACACATCCCATCCTAGATTGCAAACAGCAGAGAGTTTTACTGGGAAAATGAGTTAATAGATCTAAGGCTGAATCTTGTTAATTCCCACTAGTCTTACAGAATCAATGGCATTGTTCATAAGTGTTGACTCACCACTCAACAGTTGATTCAATGGGTCTACTCTAGTTGGGAGTAACAACTTGAATTGGATAGTTGTGTATCCTGCCCTAGAGGTACCACTGTAATGCCACATCCATTCTTCAGCAGACCAATGCTATTGTATGTGTTAACATACATGTATTTAGCAGTTTGTGAGCCATGGTTGTGACTTCACATGAAATCTCAGTATACACCGATTTGTGAATCTTAGATATCCTATCCTTTCCACAACACCAACCCCCACTGTCAATTTTCAATGAATGTTTGGCACATCTTTATTCAGCTAAAGCCCAATCTGCGTTTATAGAATTCTATGACCAACTATTTGAAATGTTGAGTATAAGGAGCTAAGATTTTCAGTTATGAAAAAATAGATCAAAAGCCAAATTTTCAAATACCGTTAAGTAGAGCAGCAGCAATGCTATGCAATGGTGACCAGAGTTCTGCATACCTAACAGTCTTTGTCCTTGACTTCATTCAATTTATTGCCTTTATCAGCTCTTTTGCTTCTGCATCTGCAGAGTCCTGCACAGTGATAAACAGTCCCTTCTCTCATTGATTTCACTCAAAATTTGGCCTAAAGAGAACATGGCAACTGAAGTGTGCCAGGTCACTTTTTGCAAGGGCAACAGAACTCCAACGCAGCCTTATTGTATGATTTGCCAGGTGCTTCATAACCAACACCCACCCACCCCTTTTCTGCAGTTCCAGGCAGAAAATAAACACACCAAGTTTACTGAGCTCCTTCTGGTGAGCTGCCATATATAGCCTGTTAGCCACAAGTTGTGCATCTCTAAATACAGAATTAACCACTTTTTTTGTCTATTCAAGTGTTACTGAGGGCTCAATCAGACAAGAATAGAGAGGGGCGTGAACTGTTGGTTCATTAATTAATGCTAATTTGTCCTTTGGATGAGCAGGTATTCTGTACTTCCCAGCCCCGCTTCCTCTGGTGGGTTCCCACTCAGAGGCAACACTACAGCTTCCTTGCCTTGCCTCCTCCAGACGCTGGATATGAGCGGGCACCCACCAAAGGTGGCGGGGCTGGGAAATGCTGCGTATCTGTTAATTCAAAGGACAAACCAGCATAAACAACTGAACCCACAGTTTGTGCCTGTCACTCTGCTTATCTCTAGAAAACAATTTGTCCCACGGCTTGGTGTGCCCCAGGAGCCGCTTCATTCTTTTTTTCTGGTGATCAGATGATTTGCTAACTAGAGCAAACCAGTCTGTCCTCAGAACTGTCCCTATCTGCACCTTTTTTAATAGGACCGCCTACTTTTTAGATGCAGAATAACTTATTTATTTATTTATTTATTTCTCTGCTTATCTCTAGAAAACAATTTGTCCCACGGCTTGGTGTGCCCCAGGAGCCGCTTCATTCTTTTTTTCTGGTGATCAGATGATTTGCTAACTAGAGCAAACCAGTCTGTCCTCAGAACTGTCCCTATCTGCACCTTTTTTAATAGGACCGCCTACTTTTTAGATGCAGAATAACTTATTTATTTATTTATTTATTTATTTATTTTCCCAGAACTGTCCCTATTTGCACCTTTTTAAATAGGACCTCCTACTTTTTAGATGCAGAATAACTTAATTTTTTTAGGAAATATTTTTCTTTGCCTGGTAATTTTTTTAGGAAATATTTTTCTTTGCCTTTGTGTGAAGTGCCAACTGTAACCTCAGCTGCAGGCAGTTTGTCAATTGGCAATACACACAAGGAAAAGAAAATATCTTTTAAAATTTAATCTGAATGATTCAGCTCATCAGCAATGGACAGGCAAAAAATTCAATTTCCCTACCCCTGCACAGAGGTGCAGGGGAAGTTTCGATTTGCCAACATCCTGAAATGGATTTTTAGGCCATTTGATGATACCAGAAATTGACAGTGGAGAAAGCCAGACTAAATAGCGCCACTTGAAGTCATTATGCCATTTGGATGTGAGGATTACACCAAATGGCATATCACTCGTTCCCCCAAAATCCTATTTAGACTGCACCAACCTGCTCCAAAAGGGCCAGTGTAGTTGGCCTTTGAATTTCCAGTCACTTCATTTCTCCTTGTGAACTGCCCTGAGAACTTTATTATTACTGGTCAACCTATTAATACGGTAAATAAATGACTAAATATTTCAATATGTGGAATTGTTCGTGCATATAAAAAAGACAATACAGTACTCGTGTTTTGTTAGCAGACAGAGCATCTGAAGAGACCAATTTTTACTTTTTTTAAGATAATAGCTGAAGAGCAAATTCTAGGACAGCAATGAAATATCAGTTGTAGCATAAGAGTTAAGCCAACTAGGAATGCTTTTGACATCACAGGAGCTGCAATATTTCATGAAGATGTAGCTTTTTTCAAGTACGCAATGAGATCTGCTCTCTCGTTCTTCTTTTTAATGCCAGTAAAAAGCATTTTTGTTCCAGGAATGTACTTCTTAGGGTCCTCCAAATATTCCATCAGTGTATTTTCATTCCACACAATACCTAGAAAATGCAGAGAATAATTGCATTTCTGTTTCTCAGTATTTAATTACGTGTCATCTACAGCCACAAAATGTATTTAGCTTATGTGCACAAATAAATATCATCCTCATAATGATCTTCTTTTATATTAAATATTGCTGAAATCTTCTCTTATTGTGCTAATACATGGTTGTTTGAAACTAGTTAGACCCACTGATTAGGAGGGATTTAGTGAGTCATTTCCTCGATGAATTCTACTGATTCAATGGACCTACTCTAGTTGCAACTTGTCACACTAAGCAACTGGATTTCAGCCATTATTGCTTCCTTCCTTCCTCCTTCATCCCACCTGATTAGTGTGAGGCACTACTCTCGGTGGTTGAAAACCATAAAGCAAATACAATCATAAAACATTTAAGGTAGGTCACTGGTTCTTAACCTTTGTTACTCAGATGTTTTTGGACTGCAACTCCCAGAAGCCTTCACCATCAGCTCTGCTGACTGAGGTTTCTGGGAGTTGCAGTTCAAAAGCACCTGAGTAACAAAGGTTAAGAACCACTGAGGTAGGTAACATTCAAAAAATAAGAACAGAATTGATAAAAACAGCATAAACAAAACACCCCAAGGGCAGCAGGAACAGTCAGGTGTAAGGGAGATTTGGCAAATTCACCAGAGAATGTCAATAAAAGTTTATTTTAAAAGCACTGTTTTAAGCAACATCTAGATGGAGGGAGCAAGGTGTAGCTCAAATCATTCCAAAGGGCTGGTGCCACCAGTGAGAAGGCATGGTTTCTGGTGGATGTTTCTCTGGCGTCCCACAGAATGGCAACCTTTTGGAGAGCTGCTTGAGAAAATCTGGTGGCATGAATGGATGTTCTTGGGTAAAGGCACTCCAATAAGCAACAAGTCCCCAAACCATGAAGGGCTTTATAGGTAAGTACCAAAACCTTGAACCTGACCTGGAATTTCACAGATAACCACTGCAGATGAGCCAGAAATGGGGAAATGTGGTCAAATTTGCTCACACACAATTCCACCCTGTCAGCTGCCTTCTGGACCTGCTGAAGCTTCTGGGCCAGCCCCAAGAGAAGCCCCCACCCCCACCCCCTGAGAGCAATATAGTAGTTGGCCTTGGAGATCACCAGCATATGCACCAATGTCCTCAGGACCCCCCTCATTTAGATAGAGACAGAGCTGTGGGATCTGCCTCAGTTGGCTAAACGGTGACCTGGACAGGGCTGCAAATGAGAGCTGGGTCCAGGAACACGCCCATAGTTGGGGGCAAACTGCCTATAGGTTGAAGCACTCCTTACAACTAACTGTTTATTTCTCCAGTAAGATTTTACTTGTAATTTATTATTTACCCAATTTCTCTTCTAGTATTTTTACTTCTGTTACTGCAATATTGTTTGCTGATAGGTTATACAGTACTCTATGTATTACAAGAGATGTAGGCTCAATCGCCTTTTTCACCTTTGGAATGTTCTCTAAAGGGGATCTCGACTGGTACTTATGCTGTCATGATTTGGGCATTGGACAAATACGCCCACACCATTTCTAACAGCAGATATAGAATGGGTAGCCATGCTAGTCTGTGCAAGCATTATGGGTGAAAACAAAATAAAAAGTGAAAAAGGACAAAAACGTGGTGGCCCCTTAAAGACTAAGTTTTATATTTTTTTAATGTGTGCTTTTGTGGGCAAGTCCACTTCGGTGCTTAATTTCCAGTATCCTGAAAGCAGGCTATGAGCTTATAACTTCCGTTGGAAAAGCTAGCTGGGTCTCTGGGTGTAGTTCTGCCTTCTTTTATATCAGAGTGGAGGAGAAACACTTTTCCTACTGAAGAGGAGGAAGTCACAGTGGAAGAGGAGGAAGAGAAGATGATTTGCCACCCAACATTCATGCAAAAAAAAATCCCGTGAATCAAGGGCTTCAGTTTGCAGCTATCCTCCTAATCTCACCATTTTAGCAAGGGATTCTACTGGTGTTCCAGTCTCTGCATTAAACTCTGATGACAATGGATCAGTTTTGTCTTGCCTTGCTAAAAGGACCAAGACACTTACCCTAGGTCAGTGGCAGTA